CTGCAGCAGGCCCGTGAAGGCGGGCCCCCTGAATCTCAATGTGCTCCGAACTCGTCAATTTTTGCAAATCTTGGTGGGCGGCAGACAGGTGCCACGCGCCAGTTGGTCGCATCCACTCAGTTCGTGAGAATAAAAAATATTTGTGAGCCTTCCAGGCTCTTCCAGTAACATGGTCGAAGCAGGGAACCCCGCACGTTTGTGCCTTGGTGGTTGGGCATGCCTAACCAATTCGGTCCCAGGCCACTGTCTGAACGGGCCTGGGCGCAGACACTGGCCAAATGTGAAGCTAGAAGGCACACGCGCATCGAGCCCCAGCTGCAAACGGGGTGAGCACTTTCCATATAGGAAAGAGCTCGCCAGGGAGAGGACATTCGGGCACTTGGTAGAGCGAACGGCAGCGCTGCTGGAGCAAGTGCTCGCGTGCTGCTGCTAGCACCAGTGCAGAAGCGTGCGTGCGGTAACACGTGGAGAAGGGTGCTGCTGAGGGCAGCGCCATAGCCCAGCCCACGTAGCCGGGCATGGGCTTGGACGGCCAGCGAGAGGTTGTGGTGGTCTTCGTGTGAGGGGAGACGTGGGTGTAGAGAAGACGAGGGAGAGAGAGAGAAATGAGGATGATGATGTGAGGGCACGTACCTGGTCTTGGTGATGGTCTACAGGGTTGACATCTTCGTGTACTTCGGTTCTGCTGCTGACTTCAACAGGTTGCATTGTCAATTTCGTAGGCTGGTAGTAGGTGTTTGATCGTAGACTGGGGGCTGAGCGCCAAGTAGGAGGAAGGGATCTGGATACATATGTTGGTGGTGACGAGAGGATGCTCTCATTGACATTCGGATTCGGTGCTTTGGTTCTCCATTGGTGGAATATCAGTGCATTTCTGCTTTCTGGACAGCATTGGTGTGACGGGGCTGAGGCAGAGCAGCGAGGTCGAGGAAGAGAGAGGGAGGGAGTGAGAGCACACACACATACTCACTCGACTCGACACGGACTCGACACGACTCGACGGACGCAGACACAAAGTGGCAAAGTCGCAAAGTCGCAATCTTGGTTCCGTACACAATGTCGCAGCAAGTCACACTGAAGCACAAGCACTGAGGCCGAAAACTGAATGCCTCAACGGGGCTCGAGTCCAGTCTTAAGTACCGGACTCAGGCTCAGTCCGGAGGGCCGAGGTGCGGCCTGCCTCAGGACTGAACTAAGAATCGCAGGTCTTAGTTTGGGCGCCAGAATGCCGGATGGCGCCAAATGCCGAAATCGGAAAGTGCCAAAGGAGGAGTTTGAAAACCGGGCGCCAACTGCAGAGGGCGCCAACAGTCAGAAACCAAAGAGCAGGGACCCGAAAAAAAAAAAAATAGCAGACTGGCGGGTGTTATCCCGTGGACCAGGGATCGAGCCCTGGCTGAGTCCGTAACACTATCCTCTCCCTCTAGAAGGCAATGTCCCGGCTGCCAAAAATCATGAAACAATGCTGAAAATTGTGGAGGACGGGACGAGGCCGATCACTGGGCAGCAAGTCACAAGGGAAGAGGGGTATAATGCAGGTGTAAATAGGGAGCAGGGCTTGTTGTTGTGAGCTGGAAACAGGGTTGTTCTATTGATGAGCTAAGGGAACATGGTAGTTCTACTGATGAACTAAGGGTTTAGGGACAACGGGGAACAGGGCAATCCTACTACTGATGAGCTAAGGGTTTTGGAACTACGGGGAACAGGGTGGTCCTATTGATGAACTAAGGGTTTAGGGACAGGGGGGAACAGGGTAATCCTACTGATGAACGAAGGGTTTTCAGGGGTAAGGTTGCAAAATTTCTGAGTAGTGGTTATGCGAAAGTCTTGAGAACAGATCTTGAGAAGGGTCGCAGAAGTATCGATGAGAGAACATGAGGCGACTGAAGACTGTTCTCTCATCGATACTTCTGCGACCCTTCTCAAGATCTGTTCTCAAGACTTTCGCATAACCACTACTCAGAAATTTTGCAACCTTACCCCTGAAAACCCTTAGTTCATTAGTAGGATTACCCTGTTTTCTCAAGACTTTTGCATAACCAGTACTCAGAAATTTTGCAACCTTACCCCTATAAACCCTTAGTTCATCAGTAGGATTACCCTGTTCCCCCCTGTCCCTAAACCTTTAGTTCATCAATAGGACCACGTCCTTGGCGTTGTGCGATGTGGTGCACGGGATGAAGTGGGCGCGTTTAGTCAAGCGGCAAACAATGACATAGATGCAATCATGTCCACGGTCGGTCTTGGGGAGACCACAGACAAAGTCCATGGAGATGGACTGCCACCGGTGGGTGGGGATCGATAATGATTGTAGCTTGCCGGGCTTGGGGCGGTTTGAGGGGTTGACGACTTGACACGTCGGCATGAGCGGATGTATGCTTTGACGTCAGCGAGTAGGGAAGGCCAATGAAAGTAGCGGGAGATGGTGTCAAATGTTTTCTGGAACCCAAGATGTCCGACAGTCTTGGCGTCGTGGTGTTCGTCCAAGAGCTGGGTACGGAGACCACTTGCGTCAGGGATGCAAAGTCGGCGAGTGCCTTTAATATCGACGTAAAGGAGATTGTCCTGGAGGGAGTAGTTGGGGACAGGGTTGAGGTCACGGAGCTGGTTATAGATGGTTGCGAAGTCTGGGCAAGAGAGATAGCCTTGGGGGTAGCGATGGTGAAGAGACGGGGGGAGTTGGATATGAGTCATGGCGACGTAGACTTTCTCCGAGGGCTTGTGGTCGCGGCGTCGAGAGAGGGCATCAACAACGCGGTTGCTTTTGCCGGGGGTGTGGCAAATGGTGAATGTGAATTGGGCAAGAAAGTCTAACCAACGGGCTTGGCGCGGGGTGATGTCTTTCTTGGTGAGGATAGAGGAAACGATGGTGTTGTCCGTGCGGATGGTGAAGTATTGCTCGTCGAGGTACGGGCACCAGACTTTGAGGGCGTGGATCACGACGAGGAGTTCCTTCTCGTTGGAGGGGTAGTTCATCTCCGCAGGAAGGAGCTTCTTGCTAGAGAAGGCGATGGGGTACTCGTCGGGTGGAGCCTCAGGGAGGGTGGGGGAGTCTTGGATGGAGGGGGTTTCAGAGGTGTCGCGAGGGAAGTGTTGGGATAGAACGGCTCCAAGGGCGAATTCAGATGCGTAAGTGGTAACGTAGAAATGTCGAGAGGGGTCGGCGATCTTGAGGACGGGGGTCGTGGTGATGGTTTGTTTGAGGAAGTCGAAGGCGTTTCGGCGGCGGTCGTTCCAAGTGAAGGGTTCGTCCATGTGGGTGAGTTCGTGGATGGGGTACGAGATGTCAGAGAAGTTGCGGATAAAGGGGCGGTAGTAGTTGGCAAGGTCGAGAAATGAGCGAAGTTGGAGTAGGGTCTTGGGTGGTGGATACTCGACGAGGGCGGTGACCTTCGAGGGGTCCATGCGTATACCTTCAGCGGAGACGATGTGGCCAAGGTATTCAACGCTTGAAGCGGCAAAGGTGCATTTATTGAGCTTGGCGTAGAATTTTTGCTCTTTGAGGATAGAGAGCACTTAGCAGAGATGTTGAAGGTGGGACTCAAAGGTGGGGCTAAAGACAAGGATATCATCGAGGTAAATGACGACACAAACTTCAAGGAGGTCGCGGAAGATGTGGTTCATGGTGGATTGGAATGTGGCGGGGGCGTTGGTGCGTCCGAAGGGCATCACGAGGAATCCGTAGTGCCCGAAGCAAGAATGGAATGCGGTCTTGTGGGTGTCCTCCTCTCTGGTGGAAGCCACTGCAGAGATCAAATTTGGTAAAATATTAGGCTCCACGGAGGCGATCAAGAAGCTCAAAGATCCGAGGTAGGGGGTACTTGTTCTTGATCGTGATCCGATTCAAGGTGCGGTAGTCTGTGCACATCCGGAGTTCCAATGTTCCGCCTTTCTTGACGAAAAGGCAGCTTGTGCCGAAGGGGGATGAACTCGGCTTAATGAATCCTTTTTCAAGGAGTTCATTGAGTTGCCGCTTCATTTCTTCGGCTTCCAGGACGGAGAGTTAGTACGGAGGGAGGCAAGGTGGCGAGTGACCGAGCTCCAAATCGATGGTGTGGGATACGCCACGATCCGGAGGTAATCCGGCGGGCAAGGACTCGGGGAATATGTCCTTGATCTCGTCGAGGATGGAGGTGAGGGCGGGGTCAGAGGGGGCCCTTGGTCGGGTTTGTCCGTAGGGAGCAAGTCCTCCGGACGCACGCGATCAAGGACAAGGCAATAGTAGGTGGAGTCAGGGTACGTACGGGCCATGTGAAGGAATTGGTGCGAGGTGACGGAGCTTGGGGAGGGGGGATAGGGGAGATAGGGAATGTCGATGGTTGTGTCAGGGGGTTGGTAAGGCGGATGAAGTTGGGGTGGAACGAGTATGGCATGTAGCCATGGTGTTCCCAAAACGATGTCGCACATTAAGTGCATGACATCGAATGAGACCTGACTGCGGAGGGTTCCGATAGTCATGGTGGTCTCGGGAACCGTGCGGTCTACTACAACGGCGGTATCTTTGTCCCCTAAACGAATCGTAATCGGGGAGTCGTAACCGATAGAGGTAAGACCGGCTTTCTCGACACACGCGTCGGTGATGAAGTTACCGGTGGCTCCAACGTCGAGGAGGGCCTGAAACTTAGTCGTAGATGTACCAAGGGTCGCGATGATAAATTTGAGGTGAAAGCGTGAGGAGTTGATGGTGGAGATAATGGTGTTGAGGCGGCGTTGTTCATTGCCTAATTGAACAAGCCGATCGAGTCGGGCTTGTTCCTCAACAACATCGGAGAAGGTGACAGAGGATGGATTCGGAAGGAGGGTTGCAGAACATATGGCAGTGAGGCGGGGGTCAGGCAACGAGGGTTGCGACGCCGGGGATGTGCGGCACCGGAGAGGGGGGAGACAGACGCATTGTCGATGCCAAATGGGCCACCGGTGGGATAGAGATTGTCACCAATGGGGTGGTCGGCGGACTAGTCGTCGATGCCTGGGCGGGTGCGTGGTGACCATGGGGACAGTGTTCAAGTGGAGGAGGGCCCGGGAGTGGCGGATGCGAAAGTAGCGGGTTGGGGGGTCGCAGACTGGCGTGTGAAATGTCTAGCAAGTGGGCAGTTGGTTTGCTGGTGGCCTATTTGTCGGCACCGGAAGCATCCACCTCTTGCCTGAAGGTGGGCTCTTTCCTCAGGTGTGAGTTCCTTGAGGCGGCCCGGGAGGGTGGTCGGGGGAGGGCGGCTGGAGCGTTCTCTCTTCTCCATCCGCATAAGGTGGATGGTGGAGAGTTTGTCCGAGGAGAGCGTGGTGGTGTCGAGTGGGTCGGAGAGGATGTCGGGGTCGGGGGTGGAGAACTCGTCCGAGGAGGTGCTGGAGGTGGTGTCCTTGGAGGCGATGTTGTGGAAGAAGCGAGGACGGGGAGGGGCCGATGGAAGTGCGGTCTTGTAGGGGGAGAAGATGCGGTCGATTTGGAGGGCCCGAGTGAGGAGGTCGGCGAGGGTCATGGGTGGCTCGTGGATGAGGGCGGCTGCTAGGTCTTTGCGGCTTACGCGCTTAACGCGGGAGATGAATGCGAAGTCGCTGACGACGTCGATGGGGATATGTTGACCAAGCGAGCGGACGTATTGCACAAAACGGTCGGTTGGGCTGTTTTGTTGGAGCCAACAGAATTGGTCGATGTAGTCATCGACCGTTTTCTGCGGACGGAAGGTGGAGGTGATGAGGGTGGCCCACTCAAGGAAGGTGTGAGGTCGGAGAGTGGCGTGATGGCGGTTGGTCATTTCGGTGTACCACCAGCAAGCGGCACTGTCTAGGAGTTGGCTGCCGGCGATGGGGAGCTAGTGGACGACAGGAATGTTGTGGAGGGAGAAGGCTTGTTGAAGTTTGGTGAGAAAGAGGAAGACATCCTCATGGGGTTGGCCTTAGAAGGTGGGAATCTCGTTGGCGCGGAATGATGGAGGGATTTTGCCTTCTTTGGGGGTAGTGGCGGCAAGGGCTTTGAAATCAAGGGTGGGAGAGGAAGGGTCGACCAGGGTGAAATCGTTGGCGGGGTTGGTGGGGATGAGAGCATTTGGGGGAAGTAGTGGAAGAGCGCGATACATAGCTTGTGGAATGATCTGGGTGTAGTTGGGGAGGGTGGAGGTGATAACAGACGGAGTCAAGAGGGGTTTTGATTGGGAGGGAATGGTCGACGACTGTGTGGCAGCGGGGGTTGTGACTATGGTGGAGGAAGTGATGGATGAAGGCGGAGGTGTGGATGACGTGCTAGCAGAGAGGGCCGTGGATGTGTGGGAGGAGGTGATTGGTGTAGATGTGGAAGCGGAGGATGGGGGAAGGGTGGTGGCACCCGAGGAGGGGGGGGGGGGGGGGGGGGGGGGGGGGGGTGGCGGGGGGGGGGGGGGGGGGGGATGTGGTGGTGACGANGGGGGGGGGGGGGATGTGGTGGTGACGACCGCGATGGCGAGGGTGTGACTTTCAATGGTGGTCACGCGAGTAGAGATGGTGGAAACGGATGTTTTGATGTCGTCCATGGATGACTGGAGAGATGTCATCATGCGGAAAAGAGCCGCGAGGTCGATGGCGGCATTGGGTGCTGGTGTTTGCTCGCCTGTGAGGTTGCGGGCGATGCTGTCGACGGAGTCGGTGCGGATGCCGGACATATCAATGCGGGATGATTGGGCCATGGTGGGGGAGGAGGCGGTGGTAGCGGCAGCTGAGGAGTTAGCAGCAGATGAGGTGGACGCGGCGGCAGCAGCGGCGGCTTCGGCGACTACGTGTTGGGAGTTCCTGGTTGAGCGTGGCATGCCCGGGGGGGGGGGTCCATTTTACAAGAGCATCCAAAGAAGATAATTAAAAAAAAAAAAAAAAAAGGATTAATTCCGATTCGAATTAATTAATGTTATTCGAGGTTAATTCGAGAATATGCCTTGGGAAGAAATTCAAGAAGAATCCGAAGGAGAAAACTTGCAAAACGAAAATTTCCAAAAATTTTCGCTGAAAATATCGGAAAGGAGAAAAGGAAATAAGAAAAATAAATTCTGATTTGGGTTTAATTTTATTCGAAATTAATTTGGGGGTATGATTTTACAAAAATGTGAAAATTTTGAAAAAGGATTTAAGTAATGATAAAATATTGCCGAATTTCAAGAAAGAATTTTGAAAAGGAATTTGATCACAAGGCGTTCAAGAAAATTTTGAAAAGGAAATTTTATGAATTAAAATATACGAGAAAGATAATTAATTAAAATTATTTTCGAATTTTGAAAAGGAAATATCGAAAAGGAATTTAATTAATTCTAATTTCTAACATATTTCCAAAAGTATTAAAAGTAGTTTCAAAAAAAAAAGAAAAAAAAAAAAGCAGCAATGTTGATGCTAGGAAAATGAGCAATAGCGAGATGACAATATTCAGATTGCACAATCACATTGAAAGTCAGAACGTATCGCAGTGTTCAGAAAGCAGCATTGCACCAATATGACACCAATAGAGAATTGTAACACTGAAAACCAATGTCAATGAGAGCTTGCTCTCACCACCACCAACATATTTATCCAGGCCCTTCTCCCTACTTGGCGCTTGGCGCCCAGCCTACTCCCTACACAGCTATTACTAGCCTACTAATTGACAATGCAATTGTTGACGTCAGCAGCCAACGAAGTACTTGAAGATGTCGCCCGTAGCAGACCATCGCCAATACCAGGTATGTGCCCTCACATCATCATCCTTCTCTCTCCCTCGTCTTACACCCACGTCTTCCCTCTGAACACCCGAAGACCACCCCCTGCGCCTCACTGTAGTCCAAGCCCAAACCCGCTATGGAGGCTGGGCTATGGCGCTGCCCTCAGCAGCGCCCTTCACCTACACACGACCGCACGTGCCCACACCTTGCCTATCAGCGCCAGCAGCAGCCCACGAGTGTCCGCTCCAGCAGCGCTGCTGCTAGCATGCAAGTGCACCGATGAGAGCCCTGGCAGCAAGCTTTCTCCTATATGGAAAGAGCCTGCCTGCTATGTCGGCCTGGCTGGCCGGGAGAGGAACCCACGAGCGTCCGCTCCAGCAGCACTACTGCTAGCATGCCAGTGCACCAATGAGAGCCCAGGCAGCGAGCTCTTTCCTATATCGAAAGAGCCTGCCTGCTACGGCGGCCTGGCTGGCCTGGGCCTCTCCTGGAAGCCTCCGGTAGGCCCCAGGAGGCTGCGCCTCTGTCGCAGCTACTGGGCCTCGTCCGGTTGGGCCACCCAACTGTCTGTGTATGAGGCCGCGATTCCTGCCCAGGGTCTGCATTTCCCTCAAAGGCCAAGAGGGCCGTGGAATTTCTTTGCTGTTCGGCCTGTGTTTTCCCCAACCAACTAGCGCGTCACAACTGTCTGGACCCCAAATATGAAATTGACAGCCGAGGGCCTCTCATGATTTGTTAGGCCCGCCTTCACTTAGGGCGGGCACGTATGCAACAGGGGGCCCTTAGGCCTGCCGAGGACCCAGATCCTCGCATTCCCTCCTCCTGTACTTCAATAGTCCTCTGAGAAGTCTTCTATTCTGCAGGCATCTTCCCTTTGAGATCTCTTTCGTAGCCTGCGATAACTTGAGGTGCAGTTCTCACGAGTTCTTCTCTGGTGAACCACCGGTCTTCGTTGGGATCCAGATGATGTCTGAATCTGACAGGGTATTGCATTTCGGCTTAGGAGGGCGGCCTCTGCCCGGTGGTCGAGGAACAAGCATCACTCGATGCTCCACGATCTGGTCGATGTCCACTTCGCCATCCATGGTTGGGGGCAACATTGACCATCTGGAAGGGAACTGTGCAGACTCTGTGAAAGGTGCCAGCTTTGAAGCATGGAAAACATAGGTGTGGTGGGATGCGAATCACATAGGAGAGCCCGTCTACCTGATCTCCCACTATGTCTAGGACCTCCCACGGACCGAAGTACTGTGGCATTAGTTTTCTAGAGATTCCAACTTCCTGTCCTAGTTCAGATTACTTAACCCAGACTCTGTCCCCTACCTGAAAATTAGAAGGTCGTCTGTGTTTGTTCTTAGATGCAATCATAGCATCTTGAGACTTTCTAATGTGTTCAACGACCTGTTGCAGCATCTGTTTGTATCTGACAACAAACTCTACACTGCCTGGTGCGGCAGTTACCTGATTTTCGGGCAGTAGGAAATCAAGGGTTGATTTGGGCTTCCAACCAAGATGCAGTTGGTTGGGAGTCTTCCCAGTAGTGCTGTGCACAACGTTGTTGTACAGGCTGGCGACGAGTGTTAGCTTTTCGTCCCAGTCATCCTGACTCGGTTTAATGTAATGCCAAAGCAAGTGCTGCACTACTCGGTTCATTTGCTTCACCTGTCCATTTCACTCAGGGTGGTTCCCTAATGTCATCTGTAATCTGGTTCCCATCTGCTGGCCAGTGTTCTGCCATAGTTCGATGGTGAAACGAACATCCCTATCACTGACTATAGACTTGGGTAAGCCGAAGTCCCGTACCCAGTTATCCATAAACTGTTTGATGACGTAGTCAGTTTTAGCAGTCTCTGGCATAGCAATAAGTCTGGCATACTTGGAAAATCGGTCTATTATAACGAAGACGTGTCTCTTGCCAGACCTGCTGGTCACAAGAGTATCCATGAAGTCCATGGACACACTCTGACCAGGACCTTTAGGAATCGGCAAGGGCTTGATGACCCCAAGCGGAGCCTGAGTCCTAGGTTTGTCCCGTTGGCAAACCTGGCAGGTTTCAACATACCTCTTTACATGTTGCATCATAATTGGCCATGAGAATCTCTGCACTAGGTTAGTTGATGTCTTTTTGTAACCAAATCTCCAGACGCATCATGACATTCCCCTAAAAACAAACTACGCAAAGACTCTCTATCTGGAACACACAGTCTTTTATTCCCAGCCTTATCAAGAAACAGCAACCCATTGACCAGCACAAACTCATCGGAGGTGGTTTTATCTTTAGTCTCCAGCTTGCGAATGATCTCAGACATAACTATATCTCCTGATAGGCTTCCACCAAGGATCGAGTTACATCATCAGATATAGCAAACTCGGTCACTAGCGAGCCCAGATAATCTGCCCTACGCGATAGTGCATCAGCCATCTTGTTGTACTCTCCCTTGATTGGATCAAGTTGATAGTTATACATGTATGTCACTTGAATCCAGCGTTTCAAGGCGTCTGAGAGTACAACCTGTGTCTTGATCCAGCGCAACGTCACATAATCAGATCTCACATAAAAGAATCTGTCGAGGAGATAATGTCTCCAGTGGACTAGCGCTCTATAGAGGGAATAGAGCTCACACTCATACGTGGACCATGCTAACTTCTGAGATGACATCTTTTTGCTCATGTACTCGATTGGCCTCAACTTTTTCCCCTCCTTTTGCACGAGGACCTCGCCTATGCCATATTGGCTGGCGTTTGTGGTCACTACAAATGGCTGCCCAGGATCCGGAAGTTTGAGGACTTCATAGTGTGTTAGAGCATACTTCAATTTCTTGAAGGCTGCCTCACACTCTTCTGTCCACTCCCAAGGGGTGTCAAGGCGAGTTCGATCTGTTAATGGGGTAGCTATAGTACTATAGTTTTTCACAAACGGGCAGTAGTAACCCATCATCCCCAAAAACGATCTGACCTCAGTGACAGTCCGAGGTCTGGGCCAGTGATGTATGCTGGCCACTTTGGCATCGTCCGGCCTCAACCCATCCGCGAAGATTTCATAACCCAAGTACAAGATCTTGGTGCGACCGAACTCAGATTTTTCCAAGTTAACCTTGTATTGGTGCTGTCTTAGGAGACCTAGCACTATTTTCAAATGCCCAGCGTGCTCCTTTACTGTCTTACTAAAGATAAGTATATCGTTGAGGTACACGACGATAAACTTGTATAAGTACTCATGAAATATTCGGTTCATTGCGTGCTGGAATGTCCGAGGCGCATTGCATAGGCCAAAGTGCATCACCACAAACTCATACAGACCGTACCTGGTCTGAAAAACGTTTTTGTGCTGGTTCTCAAACCTAATAGCAATTTGATGGTATCCGGACTTCAGATTTATCTTTGTGAAGGATCGACATCCCTGCACTCTATCCAGTAGGTAGTCGATGCGGGGTAGGGGCTCCGCGTTCTTAATGGTGATGGCATTGAGGCCCCGATAGTCAATGCACATCCTCAGTGTACCTCCCTTCTTAGGAACAAATAAAATTGGCGCACCGTAAGGAGAGGTACTAAGCCGAATCCATCCCTTTTCTGTGAGCTCTTTGAGCTGGCGGTGGAGCTCATCCAACTCCGCGGGAGACATCCTATAGATGCGTCCTCTAGGTACCTTATTACCGGGGACAACCTCTATTGCATGGACCACCTCCCTATCAACCACTCCTGTGGGCTCCTCAAAAAAGTCAGGATACTAGGCGACGACTGATTCTATCTCTGGGGGTGTTTTTACGGCCTCCCCTTTCTTAGAGACAAAGACTAGATACATGCCCTCCTCGCGATTCTGCTTATAGTAGTTATAGAAAGAGGAGGCACACATGTAGCCGTAGTTTTCCACTAGGCTGCTAGCTTTAAACTTTTGTAGTCTAACGGTCCTACCATTTGGCAGCTTGTGTATCAACACCTTCCTATCCCAATCGAACTGAGGTTGAGCAACCTCGAGGTAGTACATGCCTAGCAACATATCAAAGGGCAGTTCGTCGCTGAGGAGCAATAAGATTTTATGTCTCACTTTCCCTCCTCCATAAGAGAAGGTACAGACTACGTCCTTGACATAGTCTTTAACTAACATCTGGTGCTTGTTGGCTAGCGTAGAAGCTACAGTTCTGCTAAGCTGCTGCACTTGGTCCCCTAAGCGCGGTCTGTCCACACAAGCACGACTGATGAAATTCTATGTAGAGCCTATGTCTGCGTAGGCTCCTACTTTGCGGCCACCTACATTGACCTCTACCACAAAATGTTCACCCTTTAGACCTCTACTGATCATTGTCCAGAGTCTCTGAATCCTTCCCTGACTACTCAGACTGTAACTCCTCTAAGGACTCAGACACATCTTTCGAACAGAGTGTCGGTGCGTTTGAAAGTGTCTGCGAGGCGATGTATGGGTCACTAGCCTTGGCCAACGCCTGAAGTGGGGAAGGCAACGTTACC